TCATCGTGGAAAATGATCGTTTCAATGAAGCAGTGGTCACTGGTAATATTCTGTATCGTTTGAGGAGTTTGATTAGATGTGAGAAAATCGCGTCCACATCATTGTCTTTGAGGTGCCTCAGCACAGCTTCCAAATTGCTGGATGGAAGAGACCAGGAGGAGTGGAACATCTTGAGTTCCGTCACAACATTTTCTTCCTCTGCATCATTAAATTGGCACACATGCCTAACAGATATGACACATGACAGTGTTGCCCTGACTTTCCAATGACTTTGCACAGTAAAGCAGTGAGAACCTAAGAGGTCTGACCAAGTTGGGGTGTGATCATTCCGCATGAATCCCTAGTGTAGCTCCTGGGAGAGTCTACTAGGAAAGTCAAAGGACACCTTCCCTGGGAGTTCTCCTCCAGGATTTGGGCTTGGCAGTCCTCTGTAGCAGACTGGCAGCCGAACATAGTAATTTGAGGTACCTTCATGCATCTGAATTGTCCTGATGTTTCAGCTGGTACCTGAATGCCAGCCCCCTCAGCTTACCCTTCTGCTTTTGTAAAAAACACCTTGAACTCTTTATGTTTCCTCATTACATTCATTCTTTTGGTGACTCCCTCCACAAAGGTTAATGATGCTGACAAATCAATGTCTTTTCTCTAAAGTGAAGCAAATACAATCACAATCATGCTGAACATATCATATCAATCAAGTGGAATGGATTCTTTCGCAAAGCAATAGAAACAGCGCTGGGTGAACTAATATTTTATGTTAAATGTGGGGGGCAAACAAATAATTATGCAATGTGAGGGGGACATTTAATGGCGGCGACGCCCAGTCATCTGGGACACCCAGACAGTCCACGTTCATGCTCTAAGGGAGCTGGGAGGGAGCAAAAATGTGGACTGTCTGGCAAAGCATAAAGAGGGAGCAAAAATGTGGACTGGGGACCCGGGATGCATTTCCCAAAAGCACGTTGACAACTTAGATAGTTAGAACCTTACAACTGAACCATGCAACTAAGTTGCCAGCGCACAAAATGGCATGTAATGTTTATTACATTTAGTAACATATTACTATGTTTTCATGTTACGACGATTAACTTTTTAGAAATCTTTTTTAAGGATAAAAAGAAATATATGAGAAATATATTAGCAACACTAACAGTGATTAGAATCGGAGCTGCCAAGTCTCACGCATCCGGCGTCTCGCTCACGCGAGTAAAATCTTACGGTAAATCTACATCCCATTATAAACCTAAAATCAGCTACGTCCAACGCGTTTGGAGTAGTTTGAAAACCCTACAGACTACTTACAAGACAAAAAAAACTCCTAAATACATGGTAATGGATGTGTAGACTTGTGTCGAATTAAAAATAAGTATAGGCCAACAGCGACACCATCTATTCTACTTGACGTATTTCAGACTTGGTTGATTGTGGCATGACGCCGCGTGGTGTATTTCAATTAACAAAAGATTATTAAGGACATTTCTCCTTTAAACGATGTGTTTCTGTAAGCAACTTTGACGTCAGTTCAATCGATGAGAGCAGTAACCAAACAGGCGGAACACCTATGGCTGCCCTTATATTTGCCTGATTAATAAAATGTAACTATATTATACTTTCTTGTTCACATGTGATTAAATATATGCTACCGCATTTTCGCAAAAAAATGACACAGACTAAAATCACGTGTAAATCAGTAATAAAAGTGTAGGCATCACTAAGCCTTCTATATGAAGCTCACTAACAGAAACGCAGTCGGCCGTACGTCATCTGACAACACTACGGACTGTCGGCGAGACCGAGGCGGCGTGTGGTTTGGCTTCGTTTTTGGGTCGAAATCTTTTCAATAGGAGTAAGTTTTCCCACCTTATCCATGTTCTCGTTGGCAGTCATATGTAATGTAAATATTCTGTAGTCCGAGGAATAGCTGGTATTGTTTCGTCAGATGTAAAGTGAGGTATTGGCCTTGTTTTCGTACAGCGTACCGCGACTCGCTAACCTGTCCGAGGTAAAAACGTCTTCGTACCTATTTCTAAATGGCTGTTCTGAACATTGTAGTTCTTCAGGAAATGGCTTTTGAATAACACTTTTTAAAAATAGTAAATTATTTAATTGATTTATCATGATGGCTGTGACCTTACATCATGTATGATATCGGGAAGCGGATTAACAATTTAAAAAGTGATGGTAGCTAACGAACTTGATGGAAAACCATCTGCACTGTAAGAGCTGGTATCGTTTGTGTTTGATATCGGGGTTTTTTCTTTTTATAATAGATGCCTACTATTAAACTGCAAAGTTCGGATGGGGAGATATTTGAAGTGGACGTTGAAATTGCGAAACAGTCTGTGACCATAAAAACTATGCTGGAAGGTGAGAGAAACTCTTGGTAACTATTCGAAAACAAGACCTTATTCATGAATTTCATAGCAAACGTTAAAAGGTTTAGTAACACATTTCGAACTTGAACACTTAATGCTGCAATATACCTGAATCATCGAACAATGAGATTTTTCAAAACAATATTTTCCTTGACATGATCTGCAAGGTTGAATTGGTGTATATTTCTGGTAAACATTTGAGGTAGTGTCTATCATAAGGTCTCCATTACTGATGAAATGGTGTTTTTTTCAGGTAGCTATCGGTAATGTGGTATTTTTGTTTTACTGTAGATTTAGGGATGGACGATGAAGGAGATGACGACCCTGTTCCACTTCCTAATGTAAATGCAGCCATCCTTAAAAAGGTACAATATGTATAGCTTGTGAGTTCAGAGGCAGTTCAACTAATCATCCTGTGTATGCGATGCACTCTGTAGGGCAGCGTTCCCCAATCCTGTCCTCAGGGACCACACAGGTCCATGTTTTTGCTCCCTCCCAGCTTCCTACCAAAAATGTGGACTGTCTGTGGGTCCCCAAGGACTGGATTGGCAAACACTGTTCTAGGGTGTACATAAAAACATTATTTGGTTTTGATAAAGTGCCTAATGGCAGATATGACCTTTCACCAACGCATGGTTACCCATTTGCTTGTATGACCTAATTTAAATCTTGCTGTTTGTGATGCCTTATTCTTTGGTATGATTAAGGTGATCCAGTGGTGCACTCACCACAAAGATGACCCTCCTCCTCCTGAAGATGATGAGAACAAAGAGAAGAGAACTGATGATATCCCTGTGTGGGACCAGGAGTTCCTAAAAGTTGACCAGGGAACACTTTTTGAACTTATTTTGGTAGGTGTGTCACTAAATGCTTCTGTGTTGATGTCACTAATCTGACTGCATTATGGGACATTGCTTGTTTTCACTGTTTTTTGCTGTCTCAACCGTATGTCACAAACATACTGGGCAGTGAAACAAACCTCGATCACCTGATTATGAAACATTTTAAATGAAGGCTGCTGCTGTTGTCATGTCCAGTTGAGTTGCTGTAACATTTACGTCCTTCTCCTAAAATCTTTTTTAGGCAGCAAACTATTTGGACATTAAGGGATTACTAGATGTGACATGCAAGACTGTTGCAAATATGATCAAAGGTAAAACTCCTGAGGAAATAAGGAAGACATTTAACATTAAAAATGATTTCACTGAAGAAGAAGAAGCACAGGTATGTTGTTCTTTTTTTGTTGCCTTTCCTCACTTTTGAGAAGGGAACGATAAGAGCATCAGTGTTGTCTTGTCAGATGATGCATTTCACTGTCTTGTCTTGTGCTCGTTCCAGGTTCGCAAAGAGAACCAGTGGTGTGAGGAGAAATGAGCTGTGAGGCTTTGCTGAAAGGGTTGCTTCACACCTTAGCTGCACTACTCTGTTGATACACCTTGGTGTTCCTGAAGAAAACCAGAGTGGTATCTCTCGTTTACTCAACGCATGGTTACCCATTTGCTTGTATGACCTAATTTAAAATGCTAGTTTCAGTGCTGTTGTGGAAGGATTAAAGAAATGTGCTTATCTGTAGTGGTAAAGTGGGCTCAGCCTCTGTTGTAACCCCTCATCTGGTTAAATTTTTTTTAAAAAACTGATTTTTTAAAATAAACTGCTTTGTTTGGTTAACTGCAGAATGTACGACTGAAGGACCATGCATACTTTTATTAATGGCACAAGCTGCCTTTCAGTGTAGTACGTGTGTGGCACCCCAACACACTCCAGGTGTGCCCTGCAGACACCTGCCATCTTTGCTTGCTGTTTGGTTCATTTTACACACAGACATTTTATTGGTCGTGCTTAAGTCCTGCAGTTACATTTTTGCGTTGACATCCATGACCTGGAAGAAGAATTAATAAATAAGTTTTAAAATTCCTGAGAGTACGGGTGATGTTTAAGTGTGAGAAATGTTCCTTTGCCTGAATGGAGAATTTCTAGGATTATGTCCGAGACGGACATTTTGACAGCAGTTAGAGCTGATGGTTTTTTTTTTTTTTTTTTTGAGGCTGCTTTTATTGTGAAAGTCATGCCATTTATATCCTGATAATTTCCATCTAATTCCTTTTCAGGTTTTTCCCTTTTTGCCATTTCATCTATCCACAGACCCCAGGTGTGTGTGCACATGCTGTATTTGTCATAGTGCGCTGGACGTTGTGTGTGAGTGTTTCAGAGGCACCTGATTGCTCTGTTAACATGCTGATATTTTAGTATAGCTGTTTCCATTTAGGTTTGGACCCTCTGATAAGGGATGTGTATAGGGTTACATAAGGGATGTGTACAGGGTTACATAAGGCAGGGCACTAATTTAGGAGTCGTCAGCTTTGATTCTGGACTCCTAATAATCCCAATAAGCTTATTCACTTTTCAGTAACCTTTTCTGTGAATAACAGTATATTTGCACCCTTGCATTGTACATTACATTTTTGTCTCATGGTTAAATTTAGCAGAGCGTTTTTATATATATATATATATTTTTTTTAACCATGTAATCTTAGAGGTTTTCTGCAAACGTATGACAATGTGCGAAGAACATTTTCACTACTGCGGCATACAACACACATTTGAGTCCAAAAGAAGACCACGACATTTTGAAAGGAACTATTTATTTTTATTCATGAACCTGATCGTTTGATAAATTAGATAAATGTGAAAAATTCCTTCCATCTAACAAAAATAGTACATCAGAGGATGTAAAATCTAATTTGTGGTTTTACAAAAGTAGTATAATGGTAACGAAGTAAATTTTCTTCCTTCAGTGCTCAGGCTCCCTTCCATGATAATTACAGTGTTTTGTAATAAATGTGAATACAAAGGTCCTTTTGAAATGTAGTTTGGTAATTATAAAGGATTTGGAACTAAAACCTGTTTCAATAAACTACTTAAACAAGGAAGCAGGTTCTATACGTTCTCCGTGTATTGGCAAACTTGTGCTTAAAGGGGTGGGGGTGCAGGCTAACTCGGTATACTGTTCTGTTTTGCCTTTTGCTTGGCTTGTAATGACATGGAAGAGCCACCGAGTCGCTCATAGCGGCAGGTAGAGAAGCGGCTCTGTCTGCGAAGATGCGGGTTGTTAGCTCTCCAGCGAGGCCAGCCTCGCCGCCCTTGTGGCTGGGCCGCGTCACTGCGCTCGTTCCCATTGGTTTGTTCTGGTGCTGGCAGAGCAGGGTGATAACAATGAGAGTGCAATGGAGGCGGAGCCTGAGGGAGCGGCGCCACTAAAGCTTTCGGAGGCAGTGTGGAGACTCTGAAGGGTTCTCAGGGCGGAGAGGGCGTGCACGCTCCGGCAAGACTGAGGACAGCAGGGGGCAGGGGTGTCGGCCGGGGAGCAGGGTAAATCTACAGCACTGCCGTTGGAAGAAGGGCGGCTCCCACACTCTCCTTCTCCCTGTAGGTAGCGAATGCACTTCTTTTTCCTCCTAGGAACAGTCAAGAGAGTTTATCTGTGAATGAAAGTTGGACGCAAGCTGTAAAACCCAGACAATCAGCACAGCAGAAAGATCACACTGGTACGCAGTGATGGAGATGGAAATGCCCTGGAACACTGCGCTGGTCTGGAGGTGCAGAGCGGCCGGTCCGCCGCCTCTGGCATTTAAACGCCAGTGTTTGTGATGTAACTTGAGCGGCCTTCTAAGACGGGAGGCTTTGTGATCGTCATACACGGTTCAACCCCCCAGTCGGTCCCTGTATTTGCTCCCTCCCAGCTTCCAGTAAGGGGAGCCCCTCAGGACCAGTTTGAGACCTAGCAGTCCGCTATGCACATCAGACTGTATTCAAACAAAACGACTGCTGCTTTCATCACTGTTACAGTCGGTAACATGGTTTTTGGTCAGTCCTCAGTATCCTAAACTTTATCATCAGTTATAAATGTTGCAAATAGAAATGCGTTAATCTGGCTTTGCTGGGAAATATCGCTGGGAAGCACAGCGGTGACTCCTGAGTCACTGGTCACCAAAAAGATGAGTCATAGCATCCAACTACACAGCTGAGAGGAGCAGGTGCTGCTGTGTTTGGGAAATGAGGAGGAGGAGGACGGCGGGAAAATGAAGGTGAACATCCGCAGCATGCAGAGCAGACTTGCAAAAAAAGGTGAGCTTATCTAGATATAAACAGGTAGATAGATGGCAACGCAAGGACAGATGCTGGTGATAGATCTGCACACCAGTATAGATAAGCCCAGTCTGCCTTGGATTTCACAATGTTTTTTGGAACATGCTAAGATACTACGTTAACAGTGACAGCACCCCATTCATGTCCGGGACCTCTGGCTCAGAGCAGTCATACACACTGACCTAAGAGATATATATTTATAAAATCGATTATGCTGTAGGGCAGTATGGCGGTGCAGTGGTTAGCACTGGTGCCTCACATCTCTGAGACCAGGGTTTGAGTCTGTTTTGTTTGCATGTTCTCCCCATGATGTCATGGGGTTTCATCTGGGTACTCCTGCCCCCTCCAGTCCAAAAACATGCGTAATTGGAGCTGCCAAACTGCCCTGTGACAGGTTGGCGCTCCATCCTGGGCTGTCCCCTGCCTTATGCACATAGGCTCTGGACCCCCCCAGCCCCTGCAACCCTGAATAGGACAAGTGATTCCAAAAAATGGACGGATGGAAGGCTTATGTCGCATATAGTGATGCCATTTGCTGTATTTTCTGATCCAACTAGATGGTGCTCTTGGCATAATATCATTGTTAAAGTCTTTACTTGCATATTTATTTGTGATTTGTGTGTGCTCTGCCTACTCTTATAACAGTGGACACAGTTGGTCTCTGTGTTTACAAATGAAACCCTGGTTATCAGTACTAAAGGTGAATTAAACATGCATTACTGTGGTGTTACCTAAAATGTAATACAGGTAATGCTGGCTGATTTCCCACTGAGTATCTCAGACAAAATACATTTTTAACCATTGATAATATTATGTGAACCTCTATGAACCAAATACCAAATCACAGAGCAGTGACATACTCCAAACACCAAATCACAGAGCAGTGACATACTCCAAACACCAAATCACAGAGCAGTGACATACTCCAAACACGCCACTTGCGCTCCAAATTATTGGTAGGTGAAAAGGGCCACAGCACAGCGGAAATATTGCTAAACTGCACCCCACTTTCAACAGCAATGCTAGTGCTAGTTATGTGATATTAATTGAAAACAAATCATAAGTAGTTATGCATACTTATGGGCGCTTAAACACCAGTGCTGACTCTCAGTCCTTCTCTTAGAAAATAAGCTTAAGTGGGATTTGTGGGGAGAGAACCCTGTGGAGAGATTTATCTTTTTCTGTTATAATATGATATGTGCTATTATGTGGGTGTATGACAGCATGACTGTTCCAAGCACAAAGTTACACAGTGTGGATATGCATAGATGGAAAGTGTTCAAAAGAGATGGAAGTGATGTTTTTTGTAAGTTAGTGTCAATGTGTCATAAGCACCACTAGGGGGCAGGAGGGGACATAAAGAGCAGGAAATGGTGAACTGACAGCACGGGGGGGTCTTCTACATGCAGTACACACCTGCAGGGACCACACCAGTCTGTCTGCTGACTGAGGCCAAACCGGGCCCGGCATTTCATAGGAGAGCTGGCGTCTGAGAGCAGAGAGGCGTGCAACAGGAAACCAGGGAGACAGAGGGAGTGAAGGCAGGAAAAAATAACAAAAAGCTCCAACGAAACGAGGTTTAAAGTTGTACATTTTCAGAAAGATAGAATGCTAATCAGTCCCATGGAAAAAACACAAAGAGAAGGCAGGCAGAGCTGTAATATACCCTAAGTGAAAGATTTAGGTTATTCTTTTAAATACTGGAGTTAAACAGCACAGAAATGTTGAACCTTCATGCCGCCATATAGCATGTGAGGAGATATTCAGAGAGACAATTGTGTCACACAGTTTCAGGGTCAAGCACATGTCATATGATTTTCTTAAAGACTTTAGGGACTGGATATCAAGTGTGAACGGTTAGGCCTGTACACAAGAATGTTGGCATGTATCCTACCACTGTCTAGTAATGACTATTGCCACCATTCTTGCACATGTAACAACACTACTTTTAGTTCAATTTTTGATGTAAATTTTGTGCAAGATAATTCACTTCTGTGTTTGTAAATTCATTTCATTGTAAACAAGTTGTATTACACACTCCCCTAACAAACGCCAGAACACAATGCCAGTTCAGAATTTATAACCTCACTACCTGTCCCGTTACAGATAGGCACCTGAGCCAGGCAGTACTGACCGCTGCCCCTGCGACCCGGCCCGTTACAGATAGGCACCTGAGCTGGCGTCCTGCTGCTTCTCTCTCTTCCTCTTTTTCTTCTTCCCCTGCATTCCAGTGAAAAGGATGATAAAACAATTTCTATTAGGCCAAGACAAGATTAAAAAACAGAAAAACATTTGAAAATTAACTGAAAAGCAGGTTAAAATTATTTTGTTGACTGTCTAAAACAGGATTCACAAATGCAAACACACTAAATACTGATCTCTGTCGTGGTATATAGAAACATTTTGTATCAACCACTGTTTATTCTAACATTTGCAGTGACGGCTGAAAAGGTGAGTGTGAGAATGTGAAAGGAGCTTCACACATGGGAAACCGCACAGCTTTAGCAACAGGGCAAAACACTGTGGTTTAGAGTTTAAACGGGACTTATATGATTAAACCAAGCTCCTTCATACAGAATATATCACTGCACCATCTTGGTCTGGCAGTAATGACGTCCAGCTTCTGGTGTGTTGTGTGACACAGTGTGCTGTGTGCAAGGAGGTGCTTCCGTAGACAGTGGGATGCATGACCCAGATTGTTGCCACGCTCACCGTTACGTTGTTAGCAAAGAAATAGACAGAGATTGCTTTGGGTTAACACTCCCATGCTGTCAAACTGATCTGAGGTCTGTTTTTTTCAGGAACTATTTTCAGATATTAAATCATCATGGAGTCATCATGTGACATTTCGAAAGTCAGTCTAACATACTCATGTTTCCATTCATAAGTTTATGGCTATAATATTCAAAGGTTTCACAGTTACTTTCAGACAAGATATTAGGGTGACGTTCCGGGGTCTGACTATCATGATTTAGGTAGAATTTAAAGGACGTCACTTCTGAGGCCTGAACAGACGTCAGCAGTGACATAACCTCCCTTGTACCACAGCAAAGAGACGCTACAGGAAAGGGTGAGAATGCACACGGGCCACAGGCAGCCGTCAGAGTCTCACATGGGGAATTAAGATGCGGCCAGTGCAGCACAGAGGTGACGACGGCACTCAGCGGACCTTAGGGTAAACCCCACTGGCAGGCAGTGTCGGGGGGGGGGGTTCCCGCGGACCAGGTAAATAATCACCGGTCTCAGGGTGATTATACACAGGGCAATTTTTTGAGCAATGTTGCTGAGGCCCATCCATATTGGGCAACAAATTTTTGTTCAAAAAACTTCGATCAACAGCTGGCAACTTTTTCCCCAGATCCAGATGGTGCCCTTTGTCTCACTGCATTGGAAATCGCCCCGGCAACACTGCTCAGAAAGTCGCCCTGCGATTCGTCACCTTAAGATGAGGTGAGGTAGCTCCTCTGTCCTCCCGTTTACGTTCCCGGGGGGGGGATTGACACTCACGTAGTTGTCCCGGGCAGACCAGCTGGGGTAGAGCTGCATGTGAAGCTGCCTTTCTTTCCTGGCCAGCTCGTAGTACTTGGCCTGCTCCTCCCTGGACAGCGCGTGCCACTAGAGGGCGCCACAACAAAACGAGCATCTTAAGACGGAGTTTTGGACAATCAATCACCAGAGTGGTTAGTAAGCAGCTTAGTAAACAGGGTTTCTGTTCCTCTGTATGTTCAAGGAAAGCTAATATCTAATGTAATATTTTAGTAGTATTTAATATATTACTTTATAAGAAGAAGTCAGTATGCAAGCTTAGTGTTAGTTGTGTTGATAATTGTGTTAAGCTTAGTGTTAGTTGTGTTAATTCCATGCCAGGAACTGGGGCTATATCCCCACGGCAAGAGCATATGGGTATTAAAACAGATTAAAGAACCAAAAAGGTGAAAACTTCATAAATAGCTGTAAAATGTTATAAACAGTTAAAACAATCTATATTTAATACGACGTTAAATAGGATTCCCAGGAACACCGCAAATGCAAGCTTTGTGAACAAGAGTCCTCTTCCTCTGCATGTTCAATAAAAGTTAATATCTAATATAATACTTTAGCAGCATTTAATATAATACTTAATAGTAAGCGGTTAATTTTGCTATTAATTGCAATGGTAGTCATTGGCTCCCAAAGGGATACTAAACACAAATCTTTGGTGTTTTATGTTACTGCAAAAAGTTATCATCGTCTAAAGTGATATAAATTTTTGCACATAAATAAATAATGATTATTTTTGTTAGAAAACCAATAAATTTGCAATACTTTTACTGATTTTTGCAGGCATCCCTGGACTTTCTGTGAGCTCTGGTTATTATAATGAAAATGATCAAAAGATCTCTGAGGAGTAACAGGGTGAGTGATCAGAGAGTCCGGCTCAGTGTGCTGTGTGCCCCCCCCCC